TCATAGTTTTAAGGCTTCTCTAAACACTACATTCCGTGTATAAACACCATTTTGTCTATAAATTTTTTCATTTACAAATAAATATAATTAGCTAGATTATATTTCTTATTTATATAATCTGTTATACAAAACCTGATCTGAGCCAATCAAATCGATTTATATTACTTGTCAAATCTGATATCCTATTGATATCTGATTTTTTGGGTATCAGTTATCAGAAATAGCAGGTTATCAGGTTTAAATTATGGAACAGACATGGTGGATCAATTTTTTATCAGTTATAGCAGGTTATTAATTTTGACAAAATCAGTTTTGAGAGGGTATACTGTATCAGCAAATGTATATTTGGGATACCCAAAATGAATTCCTAATTTTAACCTTAATTTGTCGATACTTCAAGCACTAAAAACTATCTTTGATCAATCTAATCTCTATGTTGAAAACTTTCATCATATTTCGACCTTAGCTACAGAACAAATAAAAAATTTATTAGTATGTATTCATACTAATATCCCTGGCCTAGATCAAAGGACTTACAACACACCTATTGCATCTTAGGTTGCAGCTATTTGGACCAATAATAATTTGCCTCAAAAAATAATTCAAAAATATGATATTATATTATATATATCAATGAATCAGAAGATTTGCATTTCAGAATTTTGTGAATATTATGATTTATTGGCATAACCACTGTTGTTTCCTTTCAGAGAACAAGAGTGGGCTTCTAATAAGATTTTATATAAAGACATTAACATTGAACACAAACAAGTCAATTCTGAAGATAATTTAATTAATTGCAATAATTTAGAACTTAACAATGCCAATTCTAATTCTAGACAATATAAAAAATTTGTGATCACAATGGAATATTATACTTATTGTCTTCAAATTTGGCCTTATCATATAAATATACTTTTACAAACCAGAAAACTTTTCCAGCAATTTTTAGTTGATATGTATGTTAAATTGAAACAAGCCGCCTTAACTTTCTACACCAAAATCAAAAA